CCCTCGTAAAAACTTGTCGTTTTTAAGAATTACTGTTGTTTTCTATGTTGTTGTTTATACGAGAACATATCAAGCTTGACAATCACACTCAATTCTTAAAGGTCAGAACTTTATTACATACAAATGCTCTCTTTTCCACTAAAGAATTTTCACTAGTTTCGACTCCTCATATTAAATTTTAATTATCTTGACATTTTGAGAAGTATATAACCTTTGACTCTTTTGTTAATAAACTAACTATTTTAAAGTAGACATAATACAATACAAAAATAGTACACGAGGATTTTTAGAAGGATAAATTGGTTTAAAAAAAGTACGCAGTTTTGCATAAAAAAAAAGTTCTGGGAAAGAAAATAAAAAATAGATCTAAAATAAAAGAATCTGATTGTTACTTGATCTGATTTTTTCCCATTTGTTTATTTTTAAAATAGTTTTTTTAATACATTCTTCTCCCTTTTAGAACACTTCCACGTCATTCTCTTGAAACACTTATGTATCATATTCATGTTATATTCCATTTGGAAAACAGAAGTTCAGTCAAAAGTGAATTTTCAAAAATATTGGACCGGTTATATCTCAAAAAGTAAATATGGGGTTTTGGTGATATAACCCAAAATTTTATCTAATTCCTTTCAAAAATTGCTTTTTTATGCCACAACCTACTTTATAGTTTATCTCTCCAGCTTATTATTTTCCTCGCTTTAAATTCCTAAAAATATTCACTATTTTCACTTTCCTCCTGATGTTCAATTTTAAAAGGTAGGAAAATTTGTTGAATGGTCGTTTTTCACCACTACTGTCAATCAGTGATTGATTCACAATTAATTAGTAATTGACACACGGTCAATTAACGATTGACCGATTCACTATTGTATTAGCAATGGTTTGTCATTAATCAACCTGTAATTTATTGATTGAAATTTATTAATTACTCATTGATTTTGATTAATTATTAATTAATATTGATTAATAATAAAGAAACATCGGGTTAATCAGTGATAAATTAAAGTCATTCAATGATAGGCCGCGAAGTCAATCAGTGATAGATTAGTCAATCAGGGCCACTAAGTTAATCGGTGATGAGACCGAGCCAATCAGTAATTAACTTTTAAGTGAATAAAAGTAAACTACCATTTTGATAATTTTACAGAACTTCAGTCATTTATTCAAAAATCCTTAAAAAAGAAAATTTTCCTCTATATCCTTTAAAGGTCCAATTATGTTACGTCTTTTGAATTATAAAGTTATGACACGAACAATTCTAAATTATACAATTATGTGAGGGCCTATTTGTAATAAAAATTTTAATTGGAATTGGAATGGGATGAGAAAATAAGTGTGTGAATAGAATCACCATATTTAATAAAATAGAAAAAAAGAAGTTTCTACTAAATTCAATTGTGTAATCATGGACGGAGCATGGCTCCCTATCCCCAGGCACAAAACAAATTTAAAATTATTACTATTTTTTTTTATGTAAACTAACCATTGTGCTTATTTTGCTCTAAGAAACACATTAGAAGTTAAAATAGGGTATAAATGTCCGGTTTACTATTATTTGCTTATAATCGTAATTAATGTACACCCCCACCCATCGGATTCTAAATCTATACAAACATTTATATAAATAAATTTTTTAAAACTATATAAAAGTTAATTTATTTATTTTTTAGTTATGAGAAACAATAGTGCAGTGAAAAGAGGGTATAGTTTGTCAATATTTTTAAATACTCTTAATACTTAAAATTTAAATTAGTATTATATTTAAAATAAAACAAGCTCTTTTGGCTAATTTTGCTCCAAGAAATATAGGAAAAGTTAAAATAGAGTAAATATCCAGTTTGTTAAATGCATTTTCTAAAGCTAAATATACGCTAATTATAAACTCTATTGAAGTGAAAAGAGGATATAAATCTTTGATTTATTAATATTTTCATATACTCTTGATGAAAGTCCCTTCAGTATCAAAACAAATTTTAAATTTTAAATTTGTATTGTTCTTAAAATAAACAAACCTTTTTTGGTTATGTTGCTCTAAGAAACACAGGATAAGTTAAATAGGGTATATGTAATATCCGAAGTTTTTGAGGTGTTAGCCTAGTCACATAAGCTTCATTTGCCGAGATAGTAAACTTTGGGGTAGTTATATAAGTCGTGATTAATATCCATCACAAGAATGTGATTAAAAGAAAAAAAGAAGCATGAGGTGATATTAAAAAATATAAGAGAGACTATGCTGCAAGGACACTTAGTTGTCTAATAAGAGAATGAAGTTAGCTTCATGACATGACATGGTAAATTTTAGTAGGTGGTGTTGTGGGAATATAAACAAAGGTAAGCATGAGGTGTTAAAATGGTAATTAGTGAGCAAAAAGGTAATAATATCATTCCATGTATCCTAATAAGTGGCTGCAATTAATCAAGTGAATACTAGAGTATGCCACCCACATTTTTACTGCCAACTTATGTCTTATCCCTAGGTATATTTATGTTAGGTGAATTGCTATAGTTTATGACAACTCCAGCCTATATTACAAAAGAAATCCTTATGAAGTGAAATCGAAAAAGGAAGAAAAGTAGAGAAGTCAACGAAAAGAAGGGAAGATAAATAAGTAGATCTTCCACTACATTATTTGAACACTAGTATGTTTTAATGTGAGTTTTCAGTTTATGTATGTTAATGTTGACTTGCTTTTATGAGATTTCAAAAGTATTTTTTTAGTATAACATGAAATTTTGTGCTTTTTTTAAACCAAATGAGATGTTGATAATGACCAAATCCTTGAGAAATTATAGATTCTAAGATAGGGGCTACATGAAGAGTTCTAGTAACACAAGATTATGTTGTATAAGAGGCCCCTAAAGTTAAAGAGATGTATTTTAAAAGTGAAAATTATCTATGGTTTACTTACTAAGCTTGCACTAATATAGTTCTTGTGATGTAGGTAAGCTTATTCTAAAATAGAAGTTCGATAACTAAGTAAGAATGGTCCAATATCCCATAACGAGTTTAGAGATATTAACATTTGAAATTTTGTAACCTTAAGAATTTTGTTCGAGAATTATATTTGTGACAAATATTATTTATCCATTATGCAGTATTACTCATCTTAGTTAAGTTAACATTTCTCACGAACCGGCGGAACTTTAGAACTGCTAGCTTGGAAGGGAAGTTACAATTTGATATCAGAGTAATATACTTCTGGAGACATAGTGGGAATGTCATAGCACCAAGTACTGTGCCAACATTTGATTTACATTATGATAAATTGTTATATATTTGTATTTTCTAAGATAGCTGCCCAATTGGAGAAATTAGAATTGTTAAATTTCAAGGTCAAAATTTTTATAAGAAGGAAAGAATTGTAAGCCATGTTTAGAATTGATCCTTTTTTCACGTTTTTCGAAAAAGAAAAAATGAAAACGTTCTCAAAACTGCGTTTGGCGCAATAAAGACAAAAAACGGAAATGAAAACGATTTTTTAGTTTAATGTAAAATGAGAGAGAAATGAAAAACAAATTTTAATCGTTTTTTATTTTTTATTTTCATTTTCTCCTCTCTGGAGCAGAGAGAAAAAGAGACATTAATGGGTTTTTTTACACTGAAAATAATCTCTTGATAAAACTACTAAACGCATATTCCAAAATGATATATGTCTGAGATTGAAAACATTTTAATTTTTATTTTTATACAAAAAATAAAATCATTTTAAAATGAGTTCCAAACGCGCCCGAAATATCCAGAGTTTTTGAGGTGTTAGCCTAGTCGCATAAGCTTCATTTGCCGCGATGGTTGACTTTGAGGTGGTTATATAAGTGATGGTTAATATCCATCATAAGAACGTGATTAAAAAAAAATGGAACCATGAGGTGTTATGGAAATATAAGCGAGACAATGCTGCAAGTACAAATTTGTTGAAAACGAGTAAAGAGAAGAGACTACAGTGGAACCGTGAACCAGTGAATCGAAAATGACAACCTCTTTGTTTCTTTTCTATGGTCCGCCTCTGTTTTGGTTTATAAAAGAATACTAAAAAAACCAATAAAATTAGAAAAACTAAGTATGATCTGCTTTCTTTTGTGGAGAAGGGATTGGTTTCAATCTTTTTTCATTATTTGTTTTCATTCTCATTAAGGCTCTTTATGGATTGGTTAATATTGGGCATTTTGAGCTTTGTTAGAAAGTGAATTACTTTAATATAACATACAACATTAAATATACAATATGCAAGAATTTTCACTGGAAGGAACATGGTGACAGTCATTACACAAGAACATTGATGATATGGCTATTGCGGACTGTACATGACTGAATTTTGAATAAACTGTTGTTGGAATGGAAAATTTAGCATGAAAAAGTTCAGCTTTGACAGTAAATGGAACTAGTTTTGAGGAGAAGATTTGCTGTGATGGAAAGAAATACGAGAGAAAAGAGTTCGAGATTGGGGTCTAGATGCAGTGGAATCAAGTTCTCGCTGCGATGTTGAGATTGTAGAAGAGATGGTGGAGCCATTGGAGCAAAACAATTATCAGGATGAGCAATCAATTATATGGAGACACGATGAAGAGGATAAGAGTATGAAAAGCAAGTTCTCAGCTTCTCTTTTATGGTTTTAATGGGATATCTTTGAGCGATTGAGGCTGAAGCTTCGCTCAAAGGTTGAAGAGGAAAAGAAAAGAAAATCAAATCATAATAGAGACCAGATCAGACAAATCGAAGTGCATAATTAATAGAAAGCATGTACATTAGCTAACCAAAAAAAAAAAGCATGTTAAAGTGAGCTAGTGAGTTTAAGACACCAAGATGAAATAAGCATCTAAACAGATGCAGTTACCACAACCAGATTGAAATTAGATACTCTGTAAAAAGCAGTGAAAAATCAAAGCAAAACTGCAAAAGCAAAGCCATTGGTGAAGATTTTCAAAACAGAAATGCTACATAAATCCATCACCAATTAGGAAATTAACAAACTACAGAACTCTCATAATATCATCTATACTGGAATGTCTTTTCCGATTTTATTCCTTAAGAAAACATCGGTCAGAACAGTCTTGGACTCCAATGACGCCTTCAACAATTTCAAGCCCTATACAACAGAAACACATTGTTCCATGTCAAAGTCAGACCTAATTATCCACAAACAATCTATTGACATGTTTATTGATAATATAACATATTCCAAACCTGTAAAAATTTTAAAAGAACAAATAAAAAGAATAAGAAAACACAAAGATTTAACTAATAAGGAGGACTAACAATGGACCCGCTATGAACACAAATTGCAAGCACCATTCTGGGTAACTACCCATAAAAATAGTCAACAATCAATTTAAATTCCAAAAGGAAACAAATTATATTGAATCCCACAAATCCAGCCACAATTTGGATAAAAACTAAATCAAACTAAAAATGGAAACTTCCCAATATTGCATCTGTCAGCAGAAAGTCAAATAACAAGCCCCAAAGCAAATTTCTTCATCTTTTATTCTTAATTTTAACAAAACCAACTAAAACGCATTGAAATGAATGGAGCAAATAAAATTATTGTCGTTAGAGATAGGAAAACAAGAAGTGATTCGTGAATTTTATCAATCCATATAATATTGTCAAACACTTGTGAGCCTTTTTTATTCCCTTGCAGTTTTAACTAATGTCAAACGTGAAGTTGTAATCTACACAAAGTATAAAGAAGAGAAAAACAAAAGAATTGACACACCTCATCCATGCCAAACGAAACCACCATCTCCTCAAGATCACCAATCTCCTTAACATTGTACTTGTTAAGCAAAGCAATGCTTGATATAGTGGACATAGGTTTCACTTCCAAATTGTCCATGATCATATAAGTAACCACCTCCTTCACATAGCCTTTCGCAACAGAGGAAGAGGCCTTCACAGCCTTCTTCACAAAGGCCGCCAAGGTGGACATCGTGTTGCCGCAACTGGGACACTCGTCCTTCAGATTGTAGGTCACATAGCGCCTGCAATTCCCACAGGTGAACACATTCCGAGTCTGATCAGCATTGTCGGGCAATGCCAGCAGCGTCGCCGCGCCCTCGAAAATGAGCGACTTGGGCTTGAGTAGGGTATCCTTTTTAGCCTCGGGTTGTATGTAAATCTCACTTAGGTTTTCAAAGCTTTGGTAGAGATTTCCGATACTGCCCACCATGTCATTAGTGGAGAGAATCCTAGTGACAGTGCCAATAGGCAGCGACATAAACGAAAGAAGGAAGTCCACAAAGTCTTTCCCGGCTTTCCGCAAAGAGGATCCTTTTCTCTTTTGTGTTCACTAAAAGCTTCAGACTTACGCTAGGATTACGGGTTGACATGTTGAAGCTTGTTTCTTCTTCTGATTCTTTTCAACTTTTAGTTACTGTTCAAGCATGAAAAAGATGACCCAAAAAACTGAGAATGATGAAAATGAAATGAAGGTGAAGAGTTTCTTCTTCTTGTTCTAGCTATTGGTAAAGTTGGGGGTTGTTTTCAAAAGTTTCGTCAGTGATTCTAGGAGAAAAATGGGCGATTCACATCTTTCAGAATATCCGAAATAAAAGCCATAAATTTGGAAAGTTAATGTTAGTGTGAGTAAAGAGATTACCTTTTTGCGGGATTTTGCTTCCTTTTCGCACAGTGAGCCGTGAGAGGATGTTACTTTACTCTCGGAATAGAAAACATGCCTGATTCTTATCGTTCAGACATGTTCGAAATTCATAATAAAGGTTTTTTTTTAATTATTTTTTTAGAAAATTTCAGCTAGGCCCTCCGTGGATGATGAACATTTCAACTGTACCCCTCATGAAAATACCCACGGTTCTTATACTAATTTAGGGGTGACAATTCGTGTTAGTAGATTCTGTTCGTGTCAACCCATTTATAAAAATTGCATCCCTGGATCACATGGAGGAGGAACTTGTATCAGGAAGGAGGAACTCAGAGCAAACATAAATTTAAGGACAAATTACATTTTTTTTTAAGCTATTTATGTTCTTAATTTCCTGGCGTGGATATTGGCAGGAATTGATTGAAACTTTAGCATGGGCTCATGAACGAACACCCTTGGCTAATTTGATTCGATGGAGAGATAAACCGGTGGCTCTTTCCATTGTTCAAGCAAGATTGCTCGGGTTAGCCCACTTTTCTGTAGGTTATATATTCACTTATGCGGCTTTCTTGATTGCTTCTACATCAGGAAAATTTGGTTAATTTTTTATTTTATGTGTTGTAGCCTCGATAATATCATTTCCTTTGATGGAGAAGGGACCCGCCTTCTTATATTTCTACATCTGGGGAAGTCGGAATAGGAGAGCACTCATCTTGGGGTGGGCTTACTACTTAGATACTTTCAGCAGTTATCCGCTCCGCACTTGGCTACCCAGTGTTTACCGTGGGCACGATAACTGGTACACCAGAGGTGCGTCCTTCCCGGTCCTCTCGTACTAGGGAAAGGTCCTCTCAATGCTCTAACGCCCACACCGGATATGGACCGAACTGTCTCACGACGTTCTGAACCCAACTCATGTACCGCTTTAATGGGCGAACATCCCAACCACTATTTATCTATAACTTCTCGAAATTTGAGACTCCCAGTGATTTTTTCCTAACCACTATTTATCTATAACTTCTCGAAATTTGAGACTCCCAGTGATTTTTTCCTAGGAGTTTAAAAGAAATAAAGCAGAAAAGAGAGAATTGATTTTGGCTATTACCCCATGGCAAGGAGGGTGAGGGTAGTGGCAGCTGTGGCTGCAGCAGGCATGCTACCGGCGGTCCACGAACGAATGTGGTTGACCCTGGAGATAGCCGAGGCAGCTCCAACAACTCCAGCGATCAAAGCGAACATCACAAAGACCCGATCGCCACATTTCCCATCAAAAAATACACAGGCGAGAACATAACATATATATACATACATATATATATATATATATATATATACCAATTTCGAAGCCATAATCAATTGCTCTGTTGATGGCCCAACTGCCAATGCCTAACACAATGACATACATGTAAAAATTGAGCAGCAAAAGTAACTTTCTCCCCTGTCGTGACTACCACATTCATGGCTTCAAAACACATCCTAGAAAAAAAGAATTAGATCTAATTTCAACAGGTATATGAAATTTACTTATTTGTCCTTAAAATGAGAGTTACATATCACTAACGTAACACTTAACGTTTAAAATTTAACCGAAGGGACAGAAAAGGAGAACGCGTGCTAATGGCTAATTATTTAGGAGAAAAATTTATTATTTTTAAAATTTAAGGGGCATTTTGTTACAAGACCAATAATTTAGGAGGACAAGTGTAATTTGTCTAAAAATATATATCCCACCGAATTCGGTGGAAAATAAAGATGCAAGAATGGGCAGGCCCAGCCCGGCCCGTTCTCTTTAGACCCATGCGAGCCGTGGGTCGGGCCGGCCCAACCCACAAATTTTGTGGGCCGGGCTGGGTTGGCCCCTATAAGAATTACCTCGGCCCAGTCCCACACCACGAGCCAATTGTACGTGGGCCAGGCTGGTCGTGCCGTGGGGCAGGATGGGCCGTACCATGGGGCTTGAATGGGCCCATCTTGGCCCATCATGGGTTTAGATGGGCCAGCCCATCTAAGCATGTAATTTTTAACTTTTTTTATTTTTTTATTTTTGAATTTTTAAACAAGTTAACAAATATAAAAGTTTGAATAGTCGATGAAAATATGAAAAATGATATTTTATTTACGATTGCCTCATTAAATAAAAACCTTTCTAAGGAAAAACCATGGGACAAAACCTTGGTAAGGAAAAAAAATTACAATCAGGATAATTATACATAAGATGTTTACAAAATTACTAAAAAAAGAAAAAAAAACATGAAGATATATGGGCCCAGATAGGCCGGGCTGGGCTAGCCCATTATGGGCCTAGACGGGCCGGATTGGGCCGGCCCATCATGGGCCTAGACGAGCCCAATCCAGCCTAGCCCGGCTGGGCCCATGATTTTTCATGGACCGTACCGGGCCGGCCCATGGACCGATATATGTTGGCATAGCCCAGCCCATAAATCGGGCCCAGTCCGGCCTAGCCCGGCCCAAGCCCGGCTGGACCCATGATTTTTCATAGACCGTGCCGGGCCGGCCCATGGACCGATATATGTTGGCCTAGCCCAGCCCACCAATATTCATGGGCTGGGTCATGCCTTGAATAGTGACGGGCCGTGCCGGCCTAGCCCGTCACTGTGTCAAGATAGACCTGGGCTGGCCCAAAGGCCCCGGCCCATTGTTGCATCTCTAGTGAAAAATGAAAAGAAAGCAAGGCCATTCTCCTACTTGGTTTTCTTTTAATTTATTTAGGAAAAAGTGAGAATGTGATAGTACTTTTCTCCTATTTCAGCAGAGAGATCGAGTTGTGCTCTCCTTTTTTTTCTAGACAGAAGTGTTTTGTAGGGCTTGTTTGGGATAACTTTTACTTATACTTTTAAGAAGTAAAAAAATATGAGCATAAATTATGGCTTTTTAATTAGTGTTTGGATAATACGCTAAAAAGTGCTTTTATATTTAAGAAGTGCTTTTGAACTTGTTTGGGTAAAAAAGTCAAAAGTCCTTGTTATAAAAAGTAGGGAGAAAGAGGGAAATATGTTAAGACTTGAGATGAATTAAAATTAATAGGTCAATAGTTTACATAAGTTAATAAATATGCCAAATTATTGTTTTCGTCCATAACTTGTCTAGTTATGAACCATAACTTGACAAGTTATTCATGGCTTTTGTCCATAACTTGTCTGGCTATGAACCATAACTTGACAAGTTTATCCATAACTTATCTGGTTATTAACCATAACTTGACAAGTTATGGCCTATTAATTTCTATAACTAAAAATTGGCCTATATACTTTCTTAAGCTTTTCATATTGGCATATTTTCTACTATTTCCGTAAAAAGTAATGTAATAAAAGAATATATATGAGATATTTAATTTGTTGTTCATAAATAAAAGGTTAAAAATGTAAATAAAAAAACTTTTCATAAACACTAAGGAGGTGGTTTGTTTTAAACGCCTTAAAAAAACCAAAAGCACTTTAAGTTGACCATTCAAACAGATTCAAAAACGAATTTTGGACTAAATTAGTCAAAAGCAACTTTTTTTAAGCCAATCTAAACCAGCCTGTAGTCTCTTTTCATAATGAAGCTCTTCATAGCCTTGTTTGTGGGCGTAGAACCACATTAAGGGTGCGTTTAGTTACAGTGGGGGAATAGTAATGGGAATGGAAATGAGAATGGTAATAGGAATGGAATGGAAAAGAAAGTTGATTCATTTGTTTGGTTGTAATTTTAAGAATTCTCTCGAATGGAACATGAATATTTTCATGTTGACAAACTTATCCTTATAATATATATAATACTAATATTTTATATATCAATATAATATATAAAATATAATATAATATAATATAATTATTATTATATAATTATGATATATAATATAACAATATTTTTAAAATTGTTAATATAATTATAATATTATAATATATAAAATGTAATACAATATAATA